TTCATCTATATATATATATATATATATAAAATACAAAAAATGTTTCCTATATCCTTTATGCATTCCTAAACCGTTCGTCCGATTGCGATGAAATCCGGTAAAGAGATAGATTGGGGAACAAGATATAGGTTACATTTTAGAAAGTAAACAAGAGGTCCAAACACTCCAAACCCGAGGAGGTTCTCAAACGGGGATTTCGAGATTTACTATGAAAATGTTTGTTTATAAATGGTTGTTATCAGTGGCGTAGCCAGGGGGTGGTTTTAGGGGTTCAAACCCCCCCCCCCTTGGCCTTAAAAAAAAAAGTTTTTATTGTATGATTTTAATACTTTTATTTTTATTATTATTTAATATTATTTTAGTATTTTCTATGCACGGCTGTGGGACGCTATTCGGTGATCGTCGCGTGCTTATCGCACCTACGACCGAACGATCCCACATCTACTCAGAATTATATAAACGTATGTATATGTCTATGGCGTGTATCGTGTATGTATGACCCGACGACAGCGACGGGTAATATTGTTCTATTTATATTTTTATTAATTATTTGATGCAGTTATTGATGGATTATCAATTATTCCTACATGGCCAGACAGAGAATCGTCATCAGGAGCTTATCAACTTTTGTGTGCTATTAAGCAACCTGAATTTATTTTGGCAACACATCTGCTAGCAAAAGTATTTAGCATAAGTTTACCTCTTAGTAAACTTCTTCAAATGCAAAATATTGATTTGATTGAAATTTGAAGCCATGTCTCTGGCAGATAATGTATCTGATGTGTTAAAAAATATCAGAAATAATGCAGATGAGGATTTTAAGAAACTATTTTTGAAAGTGAAAGAAAAATGTATGTCACTTGATATTGAAATAACTTTACCTCGTTTAACAAACATACAAAAAAATCGGTTTAATGTAAGAACTACTTGTCCAAATGAATACTATAAAATATCATTGTTTATTCCATTTTTAGATAATTTTATTAGTCAACTTCATGATATGTTCATTGCACATAAATCTCTAATTACCAATTTTTGCTGTTCTTACCAAACAATAATTTGCCAAATAGAGAAGAAAACATAAAAAGTTTGGCAGAAAAGTATAGTGAAGATCTTCAATGTAGTTCAGATTCAGTAATTGGAGAAGTATTGACATGGACACAAAAATTTGTTGGAACAGAAAAACCAAAAAATGCATTAGAAGCTCTTATAGCACGTAACCCACTCATTTTCCATCTACTTATAAACTTCTCCAAATAATAGCTACACTTCCCGTAACTACAGCAAGCAGTGAAAGGTCATTTTCTACGTTAAAAAGACTTAAGACATACCTTAGAAATACTATTGGAGAAAACAGATTAAATAGTTTAGCACTACTAAATATTCATCGTGAAATTATTTTAACAACAGATGAAGTTCTTAATGACTTTGCAAAAGACTCAAGAAAAATAAGATTGCTATAGCTTGTAATTTATAATGTGAAAAAATATATTAACTTTAATATAAATATTACAATTTAAATTTGTTTTTATTTTCTATTTTTACTTGTTTATAATAATAAGCCAATAAGTATGTACTGCGTGTTTAATATTAACATAAATAAATATAATTATTATTCACCTTCAGTTAATAAAAAAAAAATGTATTACTAAATAAGCGTATATAAGCGTATAACTCGGTACATTTTAGCGCATTTAGTTTTACCACTCCTGAGCAATATATTTTAGAGTTGAGCAAAAATAAAAGTCATTAACCCCCCCCCCCCTCGGGTAATTCCTGGCTACGCCACTGGTTGTTATTGGTTTCAATAATAATTATTTTATTTTGTTATAACATTTACACTTAAAAAGACATTGTTTCCAAGGCGTGTTAATCCAAAAGGAGTTGAACAATCACAAAAACCTATCAATAGAAAAGCATTACCGGGTCAGCTATTATAATATATTATATAATAATTATTATACTCAGTAGTTATTGCTACTACCTGACAACGGTTTATGATGGATCAGAAAATAAAATTGATAAACTCAAATTTTAAGTAGGTACTTCAAAGCCGATGCTTATACCATCGATATCTGTACTCGCATTTACTATCAGCTGTATAATTGCATTATTATGAATACATCGTGCCGTGTTGTCGTATATACATATAGTATTTCGCTTAGTAATAATATGACGTATACGATGTATGCATTAGCTTATTTCGTTCTTTCCGGTTTGTTGGACACCGGAACTACAAAGGTGTATTACGTTATCATACTTAAAACGTATCGTTTTCCCCCGACGTCGTCGCGATGGGATTTAAGGGAGTTAATATTCTCTCAGACGTGCAGTGCGCCGCATGTAAATGTATATTAGGTATTATATAACATGATATGAGGTGTGTTCAATCATAAAAAACGTACATAATACCTACTAATTTTTTACATAGGTGCGAGAACAACGAACTCACCAAAATGTTCGAATGAATAGTTTTCAACATTTTTTAGACAACATCAATTATTGGTACATGAATTATCAACCAAAAAAATTTAATTTTGTGAAATTATACCTGTATAGCAACTGAAGCCTTTAGGTATCCGTGAAATGTAATTAACATATTTTGTTGAAATAGTAGCAATATCTGACAAAATTATAAGAACGACCTCATTTTATATATGCATTGTAAAGATAAGGTGGTAGATAAAGAGTTAACCAATGAATGAACATTGTTAATGTATAGGTCAGTGAAACTTCCAAATTGCTTAAACTATACATATAAGTAGTTATATAACTATATACTTTCATTTTCTGTTTAACAAAATATATTGAGAACCAAACCAAATCAGAACATAGTTTATTTAATTCTAAACAAATTCTCAATGAAGTTCTCTATAGTACAATTTTTTTTAGTCACCCATATAACTCATAAGATTTCATAATGGCTGTTTCACTGCATTTGTATTACAATTTACGTTTATTTCATAATCACTGCAATGTCCGTTGTGAGCGGTCTAACCAGCAGAGATATAACATTTCTATTTGCATACAACATATGTATACAATATATACAGGGTAATAATTCACCAGGCATGCTCACTACCCTTATTTACACTTCAATAAACCAAAATATTTTCTAAAATATATCATAATACAGTAAAAAAAAAGGGGTTAGTGTTATTATTTGAACAACAGAATTGTGTATCGACGCAGGACATTTCCTTAAACAGTATAAAAAATCCCTAGAATTTTAAATTATAATATGGATGTTGATTAAAATTTGAATACATTTACTATAAAACTATAAAAGGTAAAATAAACTATAATATATCACGTGTGGAGATTAAGTCAAGTACTTATAAGCATAATATAACATAATAACTTGATTATCGTCACACAATCGAACAGTGGAGGGTGCTGCAAAGAAGAGAAACAATATAAAACGTATGCGGTTTACATAGAAAACAAAAAATCTGATAAGCACTCGGTGGTTTTACGCTAGTGCGCATAGTATAAATAATAATAATAATTATATGTTTTACGTGTTTGTCGTCGTCCGTCGCCGACCGTATAATAACATAATAATATTATAATATATGCTATTCTCGATAAATCATTCGACTTTTGGGCGGAAAAAACCACCACCGTTCCGTATACGAGACTGCAGTAATGTTATTATAATATATTTAGACGCGTCGCGCGAAGAAGCAGAAGCGGTGAAATTTTAATTTTTTTTTTTTTACTCTCTCCTCGGAAACTGTTTAATTTATGCACTGTGTGAACGAAAAAAAATAAGTGCGGTCGAGAGGTGTTGATACGCGCGCGGCCCATTAATTTGATTTACTGTTCGGCGGCGGCGGCGATCCTCGTGCTGTATATAATAATATAATATGAATTCTTGTGCTGCTGCTGCTGCTAATGAAAGCCACAAGAGCCACCGACTGCATAAATTATTATTATACTCCTCGACGACGAAAGCTCCGGCGGCGGTCCGCGCTGATTAATTACTCAGCGGCCAAGTCCGCTGCTAATCGGCTGCGACGACATAATAATAATAATAACGCAGAAATGTCGTCGACGGCCGTTATCGTGGCGGAGCTTCGGTGTGTTTTTCGAGTGGCAAAACAACGGGTGGGTTTACCCACTGCTGGTAACAGGAAGCACCTACGCCGCCCGACGGTATAAGGTTTTTTTTTCCTTTTTCTTGAAACATAAATCAACACCGAGTCGTATACTTAATAATTTTTACTCCGACGATAATATCGCATCGCGAGCTCTTAACGAGCGGTTAAAACAGATTAAAAAACCGTTTTGTGACGTTTGCAGAGCGTAAACGGTGGCGCATAATATACCTATTATATAGATCTGAATTCAAGTATTCGTCCAAGTCCCCGAGCGCCTAACTTATCAAAATAATGGAAAATTTTGGACAAGATCGGTTATTTTTTAGTTGAGTGTGGAAAAAATGAGCGGTTATGAAATTATTCGTTCAGAAGAAAATGTCTATTTTATAATATAATTTTTTAATAATAAACGCATTTCGTGAAGATATAATATAATATTATAACCTAGGTGCGCAGAGTCCGGACTAACTTTAAACTGCGTCAGAACAAAGCCGAGGGTGTCGAACCCTGCTTAATATTCAAATTATGTTGAAAATAATGTTTTACTATATAATTGAACAGTAGAAAAACCATTGTTTTTATTATAATAATATCATGGCTTACGGATCTGGCTGCAACTCCAAGGAGTTATAAACACTGTGTATAATGATAACGATAATATAGTAATATGTCCGTGAGTATTGTATACTATTATTACTCATCAGTCATCGTCTGTACTGGTACCTACAGAATCACACGACGAGGAAAATACTATGTTTCCGGTCCACCATCGGCTTGATTTTCTTTAAAATTCGATTTATTGAAATCGATGGTTATGTTAAATACCGTATAGTTGTGTGTGTACCTATGTCTTACTATAAGGCATATACCTACTATAACCATTATTTTCATTATGTAATGTCTTCGCTAAAAGATCTAGCTCAGGAGTTGCAACCTCTGTGTTATAATGAGGATGATGATAATAATAATAGTAATATAATGTCCGTGCAGTATCGTAAAGTACACAACTTTTCACGTGTATATCGGTACGGACGAGCTCGTACACACGACGAGGAAATGTTTCCGGTCGGCTCGTCAGCTGCGGGGCCTGATGGAGTGCAACTGAAGGCTGCAGCCCCCGAGCTCGAGGCCCGTTTAACACCCGACTAAACAATATTAATTATCGGTAAACGAGTGCATTGGCGGCGAAGAAGATTCGTGTATAGTGTCCCGCAGCGTCTATTATACGACATGAGAGGCATTTCTGTTATATATACGACGACGTCTTCCTCGCCGATTTCGGGGGCGGAGTTTGTCTCGTCTGTGCACCGTAAATCCCCCAAGGTAAACAATTCGGTTGGTCGTCTGTGCATCGCACGTTTCAGAGATACGACAGCTGTTGCTGCAGGTAGTATAATGTACGGTGACACGACTGGATTTCATAATACGAGAGCATAATAGGTACATCTCAGATTCAAATATAATCAGATTCAGAAATTATCGTATATTGTAAACATAGTTTTTAAATTATTTACGGTCGAACAATTTTGCAATATTTGAACGAGTGTAAACAATTGCCAAATTTACGAACCAAAATTTAAAATAGGTAGGTGTAGCTGGTTACATTTTATTTTAATAACTTTTCAAATTGTTTTATTTCAATTATACATAGCAATAGTATAACAATGACGACCTATACAATTTGTATTCGTTACAGTTATATAGCGATGTACAAACGTTAACGTCTACGAAGTTGGCCCTGCTCCGATTAAATTCTAATTACTTCAAACATAAATAAATGTTAAGTATTATTGAAATCTCTTCGAATCTTTACTATATTACACTAAAATAGCAATTGTAAGACTCGATGTGAAGAATTTTTTCATTCTCCTTGAGATTCTACTGCACTTGACGAGAGTTTTCAGGTACCACAATATATTATATCCTATATAGAGGGTTCGGTAAATTACGTTTTGGCCGTAACTGGACACCCTCCCCAGTCAACGTAGTGGGACGTTGGATGTTAAAAACTCGATTTAAGCTCTATAATATAAAATAATATTTTATTATTCATAGCTATTTCTACCTATATGTTGCCCAAATGTTTTATTGGGCGGGCCTTCTCCACGGGAAACCGTTTCTGGACGATCGGTATAGTATACGACGACACACGTCTAAACATTCATATAATATATTCCTTATACATCGTAAATAAAACAACCCAATCAGCGTAAAAAAAAAAATAATGTGCTTATAAAAATAAACGTTTTGGGCTTGTTATGACCGCAGCGCTGTCGCATAAATAAATGTCACACTCGCTCGTGGTACTATTAGATTAATATTTTACATATTTTTCCTTACTTATGTAGTTTTGTATATGTACAACACTAGCAAAAATGATTAAAACAATAATGATGTGATACGTCGGCTGAGAGTTGATTGTAATGATGTTTAAGGGGTTGCGTCCAATTACCAAATACTTAAGATTTCCGAAAAGGTCGATGGACAAAAACCACACACTTTATCAGCACATTGTACTAATATACCGCTAGCTTATGTCAATTTATTTTGTTTATTTGAATAAAATATATATAAATAATAAATAACATATTTTATATTTATATACCTACTCACAGTTTCAAATGATTATAAAATTTTCGTTAGATATATAATATCAATCTTAAAAAAAAGCGTGTAATTTTTGAAATTAGGGTGTTCTATTGGGTTATACCTGTCATAATCAGTTCGTACCTGATAATCATTAAGCGCCATACCTCAGTTACACGAATTTCGAAACTTGAGTAATGAAATATGCAACAACTCGATATTCCGTTGTTAGGTTAGTAGGCTTAGTAATAAATTATGTTTCGTTATACATGCGCTCGCATGTCGTAGGTATATCACCGTTGTGAGTAACGCAACAATGAGAGAGCCTGTATAGATTTTACGTGATTATTTTATCATAAAGAACAAAAAAAAATTATATCATTATTATATTATGTTGACGAGCGTTCGTGCGTCGTATCAAGTCTCTCCCCTATTTACAAAGCCCGATAGATCCCGTTTCATTCCGATATAATAATCGTATAATAATATATTATATTGTAGGCATAATATAATAGTTTCAAATACCATTGTTGTACCTATATAGGTGTACGCGTATAATAATAGCAATAATCGTATACGACTTTTGTTGCTGGCTGCAGTTGGCTGTATCTAATATTTTCATTGGAACCATTCAAAGGCGCATTCAGAGATCGTCAACGATCGTATTACATACTTAGATCTCGGCCGAGTTGGGGTGTAGCACACGATATATTATTATGACGATATATACAGAACAGAATATTATACAGAATATTACAATGTCGAGTAGCGCAGGTTCTTATGAAACGGTAACGGTATAATATGATATTATATGAAATACCATAATAATATAATTATTGTACCCATGTGGGTGAGACAAGGGAGAATTGGACGACAACATATACCTACACATCATCGGATCGTGCCCATATATACGTCACAAGTACAAAATGATAAATCGTATTATTTGTTTTATTATCACGGCGGAGGTGCCTTATTGAAATACTATCACGTCACTATAACACGACAGTTTATTTAGGTATTTTGTCGACTGCTGCAGATGGTGGTCGCTTTTCGAGAGGTCTAGTCGCTGGACTACAAAACATATCATACAGTATAAACACAATAATATGGGGATGATTCTGCGCTGAAGGACGGGGTAGGTAACCTGCACAGCCCGGCACAGATCAATTACATACTTTTCCGTCGGATTTTCTCCAAAACGCGAGCGTATCGCCATTATAAATAAACTCGGAGGGTGAGTGGGGGGGAAAAAAACTTTCCGACTCGGCCCCCGGCCGCTCCGGCGGTATAAAATTACACGGACCGCCCGAGTAACACAATATCCTTTGGGTCTCTTGACAGGCATCTGAAATCGGAGGATTTTCGCCACCCGGCGTACTCGTAGTGCGTGGCGTACACTGCAGGTTCCTCGTTAAGCTCTTGACCCGGGATTTCGTCGAGGATTTCTAGACGACATTATACCGGGCGCGAGTGGGCGACTGTGGGTGGGATGGGTGGCAGCGGGTGCGTCGAGGAGGAAGAAAAAATATACAAGGGTCACTTTTTCGCCGTTGTACACTTGCACGGATTTAAACCCGAGGTAAACGATCGATTTTGTACAAAGTCACACACACGCACACAAAGAGTATATTCTTTGCCGCCGCCACCAAAGGGCAAGTGTAAAACGCGTACCGTATAGCGTCTCGTCGTCATCCTCGACCGCGCTTAAATATAATAATAATAATAATAAACGAGTATTATGACGTTATACTCGTCTATTGTAGCCGCGAGAGGTCTTCCCACAAAGTATCGATTGTCCGACGTGTTTGTAACAGTATCGTTATACCATTTACCACACCTAGGTATACCAGTGAACTAATAAATAGCATTACGATCGTCTATATTATTACAAGAAGCGTGCAAACGCGAAACGATGCATTTTTATTCGATGCTTATAAAAAATTGCATTATAATTCCAGTGGACTTCGCACCGATATTATAATGCAGTCGGCGTGAAATTTTTGGGCAGATGCGCACCAATGAAACCGCGCACGACCGCGAGTCGGAGATCGATACAGAAATTAATTACAAATAAAATTGAAAAAACGAATTTGCAGAAATACTGCAACCGACCGTAATCGCGACGACGATGTCAATAATACGCAACAATTAACCGTAAATTATTATAATCTGTACGCGTTGCACAATATATTCAACCCGTTTTCGTGCATTTAATTGTGCGATTTATCGAACCTCGGCCAATCAACGGCACGGAAATACAATGTACGCTCGTATGTTATTATGTTAAATTGTATATTATTATTATTATTATTGTATTTGACGAAATATTAATATCGCTGTAAAACGTGTAATAATATATATGCTGCTTAAACCGCGAACTTCGAGTTCCGACTTGATTGCGAGAGGGACAGGTGGGTGGAGGCGGAGACGGGGGGTGAGGGGGTCATGGGTGTATCATGCAGGCTATACATGAATATACGGGTATTTACTATTTTGTAAACAAACGAGCGCTTTCGCGGATAACGACCCTGCGGCGTGATTTTCGTTTCATTTAACCCTTTGTCCGAGGACCGAACTTTGCAGGATTTCAATATACGGTGGGCCCATATATATATATACCATCGTCCATCGGTATATACAACAACGAATTCGGGAATCCCCGCAGGAACACGGTTCGGTACACAAATTGACCGCGGTTATAATATTATAGCCACTCTATTATTGTACTCGCGGGAGGGGCGAATGCGAGATGCGGAAAAAATAAAATATGAAATTGTCCCTCTGCCGTCGATAAATATAATATTTTAAAAATAAAGAGACGGACGCGGCGCGTGGCAGTTCGAGTGACGACAGACTATTTTTTTTCTCTCTCGAACTATTTTTCGGTTTACAGCAATATCCTTCGATGTCGACCAATGTTCCGAACGTAGTTTCGGATATAAAATTGAGTGTAACTTACTACATATTTTAGTAGTATACAGTTGTAGTAACGATATTATAAAAAAGGGTTTGAATTCCTCGACCTATTCATAAGATTTCAATGGACAAAACAAGGTTATTGCGTAAGTTGTGAAAATATACAAATATTTTTATACCCGTCGATATATGATATATTGTGAGATTTAGTATTTTATTTCCCAGTGGGATCGGTAAGTCTTTTCGTAGCCCGTTAAATACTGTGGTTCGGTGCCTCCCCTATCTGGCGCCGGAAATGCATAATTGACAAAAAATCAAAAAATCATAAGAATCATGTTGCCTAACGGCTAACAAGTAACACACATATATGATGTAAACAAACAACAATATAACAAATGACATGATAACAATGTTATTAAGTTATCGTGTACCTCAAATGCTTACAAAGACCAACCACCTACGACGAAGTTGAAGTGTGACTGATGTAATAATATTATGAAGAGTGCTGGAGTGCTGGCGTCAAAAATAATTTCAAGGGTCACGTCGAGGTAACCTGTGGTCGCCGTTTAATTGGCAAACGACACATACCTAGGTTAGTATAACTCATCAATATTTTATTAACGTATGAGACACTCGAGTTGTAC